CACAGATAAAAAGGGTTGCAAGAGCTGCAACAGTGATAATTGGGGACATTAACTATCTGGAAACAGGTACTACTGGAACAGTTAAAGAGCAAAAATGTAAAACATATTACAAGACAATGTTATGGTACAGTTCATAGAAGCTCCAACTAGAAATGATGCTCTGCTGGACCTGCTAGTCCCCCTTTGCAGAGCTTGTTACTAATGTTCAAATAAAAGAACATCCAGGTAGCAGTGACCAAAACTTGAGTGCATTATTTTTAGCTGTATACAAGCACATACTGGAATAATAAAAACACTTGGGCTACATGCACACTAGCATTTTTAAGCTCCTAGAAGCTGATACCAGCATTTTTTTTGTGCTCCTAGAAGCTAAAAAGTGTTATTATATGTGTCCATGCACACTGTTTTAGGCTAGTAACCATTTTTTAGCTTCATCATTTAGGCAGAAAAAAACGTTTTTGTAGAATTTTAAGGGGTGTTTTTCTTAGCACAAAAAAAAAGCTAAATGCTCCTTTTTTCTCTACATGTACTGTAAAAATGCTAATGAAATGCTACAAGCCAGCACAGAAACAATATTATCTGCATTTTTCATCCAGCTTTTTTTTCTAACATTTTTTAGCTAAAAAAAAAGGACCAGTGTGCATGGAGTCTTACTAAGAGAACACATTTTTAAGGGCTGCTCTCCAGGACTTAGACTGGAAAGGAATACTTGCATCAATGAACACAGAACAGAAATAGGAATTCTTCAAAACGACTGTATGCAAAATATATTCCCGTGGGCAATAAGTTTAAAAGCATAAAAATAAAACGTATGTGGCTCACATTCAAAGTTAAAAAAAGGTATAAATAATGAGAAAAGAATGTTCACAAAAATTTTAAAATTATGGAACACAGTCATCATTTAATTGTTACAAGAAATATAACAGATTAAGTAAAAAGGAAATCAAGGCTGCAAAAATTAAAAGCGAACGACAGATTGCAAAAGAGAGTAGGACAAACCCCCAAAAATTCTTCAAATATATTAATAGTAAAAAAGTCAGGTCTGGGCATGTAGACCTATTACAAAAGGATCTGAAGTGGATGACTGGGAACAAAGAGAAGGCAAATGTATTAAATACCTTCTTCAGCTCTGTGTATACAAAGGAACATGGGGAAGCTTATGTCCATAATGAGAATGATGTTGATATAGCCTTAAATGAACAACTAAGGCTGAAAACGAATATGGTCCAGAAATATTTAAATAGAATAAAGGTGAATAGGGCTCCTGCACTGGATGGCATACACCCACAGGTCCTAAAAGAATTGAATTCTGTCATTTCAAAGCCATTATTTCTAAATTTTAGGGCCTCTTTAATGACTGGTATAGTACCACTGCACTGGCGTAAGGCCAATGTGGTGCCTATATTTAAAAATGGGTCAAAGTCTTTACCAAGTCACTATAGACCTGTTAGTTTAACTTCTATAGTTGGAAAGATACTTGAGAAGTTTAATAAAAGATAACATAGATACATTTTTGCTAGGAAAAAAAAAAACATTTTAAGCAATGGCCAGCATGTATTTATGTAAGACAAAAATCGTCAATCTGGGGTTTTTATTTTTTGCTAAATTAACAAAAAAATATTCTATTGTTCTATTGTACAGTGCTGAGCAAACCCTTTGGCGCTATATAAACTCGATAAATAAATAAATAAATAATAAAAAAAGACCAAAAATTTTGAAAAAAAAAAACCACATTTTTCTTTGTTTCTGTTATAAAAGTTTACAAATAAATAATTGTTCTTCATAAATTTAGGCCAAGATGTATTCTGCTACGTTTTTGGTGAAAATAACCCAAATTAGGATGTATTATTTAGTTTGTAGGAAAGTTATAGAGTTCACAAACTATGGTATAGATCTGAATATTGATAAATCCTGAAGTACTGACAGCCAATCTAATTTCTTGAGGTCCAAGAATGTCAGAATAGTACATATATCCCCAAATGACCCCTTTTTGCAGAGTAGACAGTCCGACGTACTTCATAAGAGGCATGGCGAGTTTTTTGAAGTTGTATTTTTTTTGTCATAATTTTTCGGAAAATGAAAAAATTAAAAAAATTATTTTCACTATTTTTTTTTTTACATACTGTCACCAGTGCAGTACAGCGTCATCATATAACTGGCATGGCGGTGAACAGGGACACTGACTGGTGACAGTATGAAAAAAAAAATATATATATATATTTTTTTATTTTTTTATTTTTAATTTTTTATTACTTTTTTTTTATTTTTTTTAACATTTTTTTTTTCATATTTTACTATGACCAAAGCTTTTTTTTTTTTTTGTGCTTAGCTGTGATTTGGTCACAGCTAATCACATGACATGTGCATGTGATTAGCTGTGACCATTCACAGCTAGGCACTAGTATACAATGGATGGCATGAATGAAGCCATCCATTGTATACAACTGTCATGTGACCTGCTGTGATTGGTCACAGCAGGTCACATGGTACCAGCAACGGGAGCCGGTACTCGGATCTGTCATCGGCCGTGTCTGAGGTACACGGCCAGTGACAGATCGCGCTGCTGCGCTGCTCTGCATTAGCGCAAACTGCGCATGTGCGGGAGCACGCCAAATGGCGTGCACCCGGAATGCAGCAACACATTTGAAGCCGCCAAACGGCCATTGGCCGGGCGGCAAATGGTTAACTACATGCCGCCCAGCCACTGTACATATACGGCGGCAGGGAGGCACTCACAGGCAAAACCAGGTTTTAAGACGTGTGTTTTGTAAACAAATAGGGGGCGCGCGCGAGGCGCGCCGCTGCCCTATCTGTCCTGCGGATCACCGCCGTAGATGTCAATCGCCGGGTCACAGCCGCTCGTTACCGGCTATGTTCCGGCGATCGGCGGCAAACAGTGACAGACAGCACAGCTGCAGTAGCTGTGATGTCTGTCACTTCCCTGTCAGCTCGAGGATGAGTTGATCGAGAAAGAAGAGTTTCTCTTTCTCGATCCGCCTTGTCCCGTGCAGCACACACCCCCGCCCCCTAGTAAAACACTCCCCTCACTCCTATAACCCTTCCCTGCAAAATAAAGTTAACCCCTTCCTCCCCATTGCCATTAGTACAGTGTCAGTTTTTTTTTTTTGCACTGATCACTGTATTAGTGTTTTTGGGGATGTCAGTGACCCCAAGTCAGTACCCCCCAATGTCAGAATGTCCACCACAGTCCCGCCATAAGTCGCTGGTCACTGCCATAAGTCCCTGATCGCCACCATAATTCGCTGATCGCCGCCATTATTAGTATAAAAAAAAACCCTAAAAATCCCAGTATCTTTCCCGCCATTTGTAAACGCTATAACTTTCACGTAAACCAATTAATTTACACGTATTGGGTTTTTTTTTTAGCAAAGACATGTCGCAGAATGCATTTTGGCAGAAATTTATGATTAAATTTGATTTTTACATTTTTTTTACTGGACATGTTTTATAGCAAAAAGTCCAAAATATTGTTTTTTTTTTCCTCAAAATTGTCAACCTTTTTTTTATAGCGCAAAAAATAAAAACCGCACAGGCGATCAAATACCACCAAAAGAAAGCTCAATTTGTGGGGAAAAAAAGGATGTAAGTTTCATTTATGTACCATATTGCATGACCGTGCAATTGTCCGTTAAACTAGCGCAGCGCTGTATAGCAGAAAAATGGCGTAAGTTGCAGTATCTATACCATAGTTTGTAGACGCTACAACTTCCACACAAAGCAATCAATATACACTCATTGGGATTTTTTTTACCAAAAACATGTAGCACAGTACATTTTGGCCTAAATTTATAACCAACTTTGAGTTTACTATATATTTTTTTATAGCTGAAAGTAAAAAATATTGTTTTTCTTCAAAATTTTTGGCCTTTTTATGTTTATAGCGTAAAAAAATAAAAAAGCGCACAGATGATCAAATACCACCGAAAGAAAGCTCTATTTGTGTGAAAAAAAGGACGTAAATTTTGTTTGGGTGCAGCATTGCATGACCGCGCAATTATCAGTTGAATTAGTGCAGCGCCGAGTAGCAAAAAGAGGCCTGGTCATTAAGGGGGTAAATCCTCTGGAGCTCAAGTGGTTAACACAGTTCCCCCCGTGCGGTTCCTGTGTAAGGTAAAGTCTATAGGCTTGGAAAAATCAATTTGTAAATGGATAGAAAACTGGCTAAAAAAACTGTATTCAGAGAGTACGATGATATAGGGTCAGGGATTAAAAGTACCATTTCAGTCTTTGCAGGTGACACCAAGCTATGCGGTGGAAAAATGTCCTTACAGGATGTCTCCAACTTACAAGCCGAGAAGGGCAACCAAACTGATAAGAGGCATGAAGAAGCTCAGCTATGAAGAAAGATTAGCAGAACTGAATGTATTCTCTCTTGAGAAGAGGAGATAAAGGGGGGATATGATCAACATGTATAAATACATCAGTGGTTTATATAGTGAACTCGGTGTAGAGTTATTCATGTTTAACCACTTTCCTACAGGGTACTTATACCCCCTTCCTGCTCAGGCCAATTTTCAGCTTTCAGTGCTGTCACATGTTGAATGACAATTGTGCGGTCATGCAACACTGTACCCATATGAAATTTTTATCATTTTTTTGAGACAGATAGAGCTTTCTTTTGGTGGTATTTAATCACCTCTGGGTTTTTTGGGTTTGTTTTTTACTAAACAAACCAAAAACTGAAAATTTTGAAAAAACAAGTTTTTTTATTAGTTAGTTATACAATTTTGTAAATAAGTGATTTTTCTCCTTCACTGATGTGCGCTAATGAGGCTGCAGTTATGGGCACTGATATGCTGCAGTGATGGGCACTGATGAGGAGGCACTGGTAGATGGCACTGATGGGCATTGACAGGCATCACTGATGGGCACTGGAAGGCTGCACTCATATATTGCACTGTTAGATGGCACTGACAGGCACTGTTAGGTGGCACTGACTGGCATTGTTAGGCGGCACTGATAGGCAGCACTGATGCGCACTAATAGGCGGCACTGACTGGCACTGATAGGTGGCACTGAGTGGCATTGATAGGTGGCACTGAAAGGCAGCTCAGATGGGCACTGATATGTGGCATTGATGTGCACTGGTAGGCACTGATATGTGGAATTGTTGAGGCACTGATGGCCACTGGTAGGTGGCATTGATGAGCACTAACAGCTGGCATTGATGGACATTGACAGGTGGCACTGATGGGGCTACACTGATCATCAGGGCCCTGATGATCAGTGTAGATGCCCCCTTTAGAATGCCGATTACCGAGCTGTCATAGTGAGGACACAGTGGGGAGAGATAACCGGCATTTCCTTATTTACATGCGATCAGCTGTGATTGGACACAGCTGATCACATGACAGAGCCTTCGGCTCTTTCCATTGATCATGATCCGCTGTGTCCGAGGGGCACAACGCACCACCGGGCGGTTAGAGAACCGCCTTGCGCCCCTCATTTCCTTATATGGAGGGCGGGAGGTGGTTAAATACATACAGTAGGTGGTCCATATAGTGAACTTGGATTAGAGTTATTCACATTAAGGTCATTACAGAGGACAAGGGGGCACTCTTTGCAGCTTGAGGAAAAGAGATGTAATCTCCAAATCCAGAAATGTTTCTTAACATTAAGAGCTGTGAAAATGTGCAATAGACCCCTCAATCACTGGTTCTGGTCAGCTAAGTAGATTGTTTTAAAAAAGGCCTGAATTCTTTCCTAAATGCACATAACATAACTGGATACTAATATGTATAGGTAAAGTTGATCCAGGGATTATCTGACTGCCTCTTGGGGGATCAGGAAGGAGTTTTTCCCCCACTGGAGCAAATTGGATCATGCTTTTTTGTTTTTTTCTTTAGCTTCCTCTGGATCAACTTCGGGTCTTGGGAAGGATAGTGTATATGAAGGTTTTCTTTATGTGTGTATTGTGTGCTTTTTTTCTGTTAGTTGAACTGGATGGACTTTTTTTCAGCCAGATTTACTATGCAACTTTTCCTCTTAACTAGCTTGTAATTGGTTGCAAGAACAGCCCTGCATTGTAGCTACCAATCCATTAACTGGGGCAGCTCTCACTAAGTCCAGCGCTGTGCTGCCTCCCGATGTCAGCTCTGCAAAGATGACAGCACTAGTGGCAGCTAAGGGGAAGATCCAGTGGCTCCTAAATGGCAAGACCGCTGCAGTTCCGGATGGGACAGTGACTCAGTCCAAATCCGAACAGCAGTCTGCCACTTAGTGATACCTGCCATAGTGTTTGACAGATTGATCTCCTAATTATATGGTCTCACTGTAGATGTAGCCAAACTCCACTGCCATTGTAGGACTAAGTATCCTTAAACTCAAGGTCCATTTCTGAGGTGACAAGTTCAGATAGCTCAACAGCTTTTACAACAGCACAAAGCCTGTGTATAGTGTGCTCAGTATGCGGAACAAGTTTTGCTTTGTTCATAACAAATCTTACTTTGCTGCTGTTTCCTACCTAGAAAATGTGAACACAAAAGCATAGAGCCATTTCTTTGCCAGATGTATCAAAGAAAATAAAGAGTTTGTGGCCATAAACTTTTGTAGAGGGCACAGAGGCATGTGAGCGAGCAACTTAAATATCAGATAAAGTTGTTAGAATATTTTTTGCTTTTTCAGGGGGAGCATCCCAGTCACATGTTTTGCAAATAAGGTTTCTAAACAGAGCTTTACCTTTGATATTGATAGGAGCTCTCTCTATACTTGGAAAGTAAAAGGTATCTGAGTTCAAATCCCCAAAAAAGATCAAAACCACATTGGACAGGTAAAAAGTATGTCCAAAAATCTCAGATCACTGAAGTGGTCTTGGGAAGGAAAGGCTTGCATTACATCTCTACTGCTGGAAGCCATCTTGTGAAGCCTGAGGTTAGGATTTTTTTTTGTTTTATAATCTGTGTTTATTCAATTTAGGCAATTGTGCTACAACAAAATGGAACAAAGATGGTACCAAGGTACAAAACCATATTCATATACATCCTGAGTACATTCTCCTGCACCACACAGTGCCTTAAATACAAAAAAACATTAAGCAGTATGCAGAGGCGGACTGACAACTCATGGGGCCCCTGGGCAATAGGGGATTATGGGGCCCCTGTGTCCTTGCCCAACTCAAAAAAGCCTATGAAAAAGGTACCAGGGGCATCTCATGGGGCCCCCTACTGACCTCGGGCCCTCGGGCACTGCTCGAGTTTCCAAATGGTCAGTCCGCCCCTGGCAGTATGTTGATATGTCATAAGTTTTTACACTTATATAGTATCAAGTGATCATAGTACATTCAGGTCCTAGAAGACACATCTTCTTGTAGTATATAGCATCATTTGTTTCATAACTGAAGAAATGTCTTTCTTTCTAATGAGAAAGCAAGATCACATGTGTTATTTGTTGGAGAGACCCATCAAGAAATATAGGTCTTCTTTGAGCATCCACTTGCTTATTGCGGGGAAGGCATGTACAGTATCCCTTTTTCCTGGAAACAATCTTGCCCACCAACAAAATCTTTTTGGTTCACTAAAGTGAATGAAATTTGGGACATGGAGGAAATTACAGCTACTCTGCCCAACACAGAGGAAACCTTCTAATCCACTTGGAGACCATGGCAATATTTTGTCTATACCGATGCTTGCCTCACTGTACACACACAACATGAATGGCCCTTGACCCCAGCGGCCCCCCTCCCCGGGAGAGGGCCCTTTTCCCCCCCCCTCCTCCCTTTTCATGGTCACTTTACCCTTCCTATTCACCTTCATGTGTATGGCCAGCTTAATACATTTTCTGGCCCTCCCTGTTAATTGAGCCATGTAACACCTCACTTTCCTCTATTTGTTTTTTTATTACTGGTGATTGGCATAATAGGACATTCCTCTTGTTAAGCTGTACTGTGATCCTTTTAATAAAGGAATTACAAAAAATAAAACATCTGTTGGGTGTCAGTTATGAATAGAACAACATCTCTGAGAAATTGTATGAGCACTTCCAGAAGTTTGAGTCGTGGACCTGTATAGAGGACAGTTTAGTGAGACATGTTAGAATTTGGCATGATTGTCAAACAATTGTATGATGATTCTCATATGCAGCAGAGTGCCAGTACTAGTGCCGCTCTAGCTTTTGGTGAACTGGCGAGCACCAGTGGCCTAGTACATCCTGGTCTTTTACATACCAGCACTGCAGTATCACTTGGTGATGTGCGAGTCCCATAAGTGCAGAACAAGCTGATGCGGTGGCTAGCACAAGTAGTGTCCCGCAGCCACCAAGAATTCGCACACAGGTCTGTAGAGCCCATAGTGTCCTTCCAGGATGTGCATGCAAATCCTGATTGGCAGCCCACAAATTCTGCAACACCCGTACTTCCCCCATTCACCCGGACTTCAGGTGGAAACAGCAAAGATAACTACACCCCTTGATTTTTTTAAGCTGTTTTTCACAGAAGATCTCTATGCATTGATTGTGGATCAAAGCAATTTATATGCACAACAATTTATCATCGCCAACCCAAATTCAAATCTTGCCAGACCATTTGCACGGAAACCTATTACGGTTTCCAAATTTAAAGTTTTTTTGGGTCTAACCCTCAACATGGACATTACTAAAAAAAATGAATTGCGGTTCTATTGGTCCACAGACCCGGTTCATCATCTGCCCGTGTTCTCTGCTGCCATGACCAGGCATAGATATGAGAATATAATGTGAGTTATGCATTTCAACGACAATACACTCTGTCTTCCTTGGGTTGACCCTGAATTTGACCAGCTCCACAAAATTCAGCCCCTCATAAATCACCTTAACCAAAAATTTGCAGATGTCTATACTCCTCAGCAAAACATCTGTGTTGATGAGTCCCTGGTTAATTTTTCTGGCCACCTTGCATTCAAACAATTTATCCCCAGCAAGCGTGCCAGATATGAGGTCAGGATGTATATATAGGGCAACAGGCTATACATGCAAGTTTCAGATTTACAAGGGAAAAGTCACGTGAAGCCCCCCGGATGCACAGAGTACATGGGGAGCAGTGGCAAGATAGTTTGGGACTTGTCATCCTTTTACGATACGAGGTACCACTTATATGTAGACAATTTTTATTCATGTGTGCCACTATTTAGACATTTGTACAATCTTGGAATTGGCGCATGTGACACCCTGCAACCTAATCGCTGGGGCTTTCCCCAACAGCTTGTAAATGCCGTCTTAGAAGGTAGGAGGAGGGGGGGGAGTCTGATTCAGAAATGATGAATTGCTCGCAGTGAAGTGGAAGGCATTTCAGCTGCAGGACCGATCTGTTTATTCTGACAACAGAGTTTTGCTCTCAGAATATACATAAGTGTGTGCAGTGTTGTTAGATGGTTTTTCATCTGCCATTAAAAAAGAGCATATATGCCCAAGCATGGGGCCTGGGGTGGCCAGCCCTTATGCTTTGACATATATTTAAGAAAAAAATGTTGGCAGAGATTACTTCATCCACATCAATCGATGTGAATAGAGAAATCTGTTAGGTTCTTTTTTTTTCATTCAGCCTATGGGCTGAACGAAAAAAGAAAAAAAAAATTCCTGTGTGCCCATTATTAAAAGTGGGTGGTTGCAGGGTGGTATATTTAATCGTGGGCATAATACACAATTTTTGTGGCAGATATTTTTTTCTTTTTTCATTCAGCCTACAGGCTGCATACAAATAAAATAACATAGCATATATGTACTGGTACATCACTGGAGTGGTTATACCAGGAGTGGTAAAACCAGGATGATGACTGCAGTTGCAGGCACCATCCTGGTATGTTTTTTTTTTCAGGCAGCGATTCATGAAAAAGTAAACCTAGTGGCTAATTAGCTGCAAAATTGCTCTTACAAGCAGTGGAAGATGTTGTTCCCCTCCACGCTTTCTTGGGCAGTCCCATGCCATCGGAGGAACATGAGAATGCAGCCGGTGTTTCTGCCAGCTGACAAATCATCAAAAAAAGAATACCTGTCAATGCCTATTGCAGTCACAGGGGATATTTACATTCCCTATGATGGCAATAAAAGTGATTTAAAAAAAAAATGAAAGGTACAGTGTAAAAAGAGTAAGTGATGTGTGGCATAAACTGCTAATGCCGGGCATAAAATGCCCCCCCCCCCCCCAAAATGACCCTTTTTTGGAAAGTAGACACCCCAAACTACTTTCTTAGAGGCATGCGTAGAGTCAATATAAGAATTTATTTTTTTTACCCACAAGTTTTTGGAAACTGACCAAAAAAAAATTTGTTTATTTTTTTTTTTTTTTACACAAAGTTCAATGATATATTGCTCACACATGCCATGGGTATATGTGGAATTACTCTCCAAAATACATTCTGCTACTTGCCCTGAGTA